CTTCCCATATCCACCCAGCCACCGATCACTCTTCATCACCACCAATGCAGCAGTCCGACGACGACAACGGCCCCTGCCGCGGCGGCGACGGCAGCAGCGTGATCCAGAACTATCTCGAAACCGGGGTGGAAATGGAATTCGAGTCATCATCCCCACGGCCCACTAACAACAACAACAGGCCATCTTCCTCGTCCAGGTACAAAGGCGTGATCCCGCAGCCCAACGGCCGGTGGGGGGCCCAGATTTACCTGAAGCAGCAGCGCGTCTGGCTCGGCACCTTCGACACCGAGGCCCTAGCCGCCGCCGCATACGACATCGGGGCCCACAAGTTCCGCGGGCCCAACAAGAAAAAGAAACCCACTCACGACGACGAGGCCCAAAATGCGTTCCTGGATTCACACTCGCGAGAAGAGATCGTCGACATGCTACGTAACCACACCTACCACCAGGAGCTGGAGCGTACCACGAGCAGAAACATGCTCGTCGTCGGCCGCTCGCCACGTGGCGGCCGGCGGGTGGAGATACTGTTCGAGAAAGTCCTGACGCCGAGCGACGTGGGGAGGCTGAACAGGCTGGTGATCCCCAAGCACCACGCCGAGAGGAACTTCCGGCCATTTTTGCACCCGGAGGCGGCGGCGAAAGGGGTGCTGATGAACGTGGAGGAGGAGGAGGAGGCGGCGGAAGGAGGGAAGATGTGGAGGTTCAGATACTCGTACTGGAGGAGCAGCCAGAGCTACGTGTTGATGAGAGGGTGGGGCAGGTTTGTGAAGGAGAAGAGGCTTAGCGCTGGTGACTTGGTTAGGTTTAGTAGGTCGATTTTGTCCTCGGATAAGCAGCTTTGTATTGGTTGGAAAAAGATCGACAAGAAGGTGATCGGCGGCAGGCTGGCGGCTCCGGCCGATGCGGGTGGTGGTCAGGTGGTAATCAGGCTGTTTGGTGTGGATATTGTCCCCGGAAAATAACCGGCGGTGGCGGTTGATGGGTTTAGTTGGTCGGAGGAGGTGTTGGTAGTGGCGGAGTGTGGTATTAAGAAGAATCAGTACAGGATTGATTAATATATTGGAATTTCATGATCATGGGGTCGTATATGGATGAAGGATTTAAATATGATATTCAGAATTTTTTTTATTTTTTTTTCAGGTTTCGTTTAAATCTCTCATTTAGGAAGGAGAATTTTTTTGTGGAGCAAATAAAATTTCAAAATCTAGTCGGAATTCAACATAACCAAGTCCCTAAACCTTAGGTAAATACCTCAATTCTTTTTCCTTTCTAATAATATCCTCTCACTCAACCCCGAATCAACCCGTTGTCTTTCCTCCTTATTGCTTCGACTCCTTTTCCCGTAATCCCACCACTATAGCAACGTTTCGACCTAGATTTTCTTTATGTTTCCCAATTCATCTACCATCCTTCATGTCCCTCTCCCCTTCTTCATTTTCCCTCCAATTGATTTCATCATCCAATTAGCTCGATGTGTATTGGGCGATGACATGGCAGGTACAGGTACTCGATGTCGAATTGTCTAGCCAATGAAAGAAACTAGCTTGGTGCTGATGTCGCTCCTCTCTTTGGTCTTCCTCACTCAGCTAACCCATTGAGGTTTTGTATAGTGGGTTATTAATGATGCCTTTCGAGTTTAGGATTTTCTTAATAGACCATGTAATGATCATCATTTTTATTTATCTATTGTGAGTCAATAGGTTTTTTTTTGTGTCTTACGCTTATACCAACATAATAAAGATACCAGTCTACATAATCGACATGAGCCAATTACGAAAATCAAACTCTCACACACTCGCACGAGACAAAGAAATGGCTTTTCTAGCCATCAAACGGGCCATCCTATTGTTAATCCTACTCACAAAACGAAAACTACGACTCGAGAAGGCATCCCTAAGCTATGGTACTGCCTCCAAAATGGCTCAACGTAACCACAACCATCTCGTAGCTTCGGATCCCATGCCACACTCTCCTATTCTCCACCACATGGTATGGTAAAGGGATGATGGCCGAAAACCGCCTTCACAACACTCTCAAAAAAGCAGGATGACAACACACTTGACACCAGCCAACCTTAGGATCAATCAATGAAGACACACGTTCACAATTCTCTAAACAAGTGTCGAGTCAAAGATCGTCAGATGGTTAGGGTGTTATTGGGGCATCCAATCATCGTTGAGCATATCAATCTCCTCCCCATATCCAACCTATCATCTCAACCCTTCCTGAGTTAAACCTCTGTTGCATGAAGGATGATCTGTCATCGGCATGACGGTCGTGAGCCTGATCGTGCAATCAGGAACAAACCATTCAGAACATATTTCCCCTTATATATTTGAGCCAACAAGTATCCAGATTATCTAGAATTCACTAACAAATTTTCGTTAACAGAGTTTGATTAAACTGTTCGATTTTTTGAAATCCAAGACCACCATCTTGCTTACTCCTACAAAACGAGCTCCAAGAGAGCCACCAACCACCATGTCCATCCTCCCGCACACCCCACCAAAATTTGTTCATATACTATCCAATTTCCAAGACAGTGTCACCGGTAAAAGAAAGCAGGACATAACATGAATCAACAAGGAAAAGGCAACCAAGTAGAGTCATTTTTGCCTCCCAAAGAAGGTGTCTTTGCTTCTATCTCTGCAGCTTTCAAAGTAAATTTTCTTCCAAATATCGGAAAGTAGCCGATTTTGATTGCGAATCCAACGACGGTAACCCAAGATATTAATCGCAAACCCCACCGCACCCATAGCCAGCCTCTCTGCCATTGCGCCACACTTCGCCTCACCAATATTGTTGCTAAAGCACACCACAAACTTGGCCAAATTAACTCGCTGTCCACTAAGCGTCTCATACTCCTGTAATACCGTCAGTGACACATCAGAGTCCATGCAAAAATAAATAAGAATCATTGAAAAAAAACAAATGAGACACCTCCAGTAGGTTACTTTTGTTTACTAGTTAACTTTTCTTTAATGGTGGCTTCAGTTTTTATTTTTATATTTTTGGACCTTCATGTTGAAGACCGTTGTTTGCTGGTCTACTAGTTAATTGAATGCAGCCCTTTCAATGGATTCAACTGAATATCTCTATTTTTGTATGAAACTGATGTGCATGCAACTTGGGGGCAAAAGAACACCTTATTAAAATAAAATGTGGTTATGAATGATCTCAAATGATTATGTTTATTGTAGCTGATGCAGCTTTAAAGCATGGGAAATAGAAAGCCGACGGGTAAGCCCGCAGAGGGACGAGGGATAATATATAAAACTGCTGTGTACATAGCAGGGGCGGAGCCAGGATTTCGAAACCGGGGGCCGAAAATAATTAATTAATAAAAAATTTATAATTATTTTAGAAGTATAAGACGTTCTTTGATCATTGAAATCACTCAAAATAACATATAAACTAAAACTTTTGGCTGTCATTTTTCCGTTTGAAATTGGGAATGATAATGAAAATTGAGACTTAAAATTAATTAAACTAATTAAAAAGAGGTGGCCTTTTATTGATACTCTCTCACAATAAATGGGGAGTTTCGGTTTTGTTTGGGGAATTGTAGAGGGGGAGTAAATTAATGAAGATTAAAAGACTTAAAATTAATTAAACTAATTAAAAAGAGGTGGCCTTTTATTGATACTCTCTCACAATAAATGGGGAGTTTCGGTTTTGTTTGGGGAATTGTAGAGGGGGAGTAAATTAATGAAGATTAAAAAGTTGGTAAAGAAAAATAAAAATGACGGTTTTGTTTGGGGAATTGTAGAAGGGGAGTAAATAATGAAGGTTAAAAGTTGGTAAAAAAAATGAAAAAGACAAATGTGATCTTGTGGATCGAACTCATGTCCTTGAAAACAAAAGTTAAACTTGACTTCCATTAGACTATACATCTATTACATAATAGATTTTACAGAACAAGTAATACTTATAAAATTTGTACAAAATATCCTTAATATCCTAGGGCCGAGACCAATCCCGGGGGGCCGAGGCCCACCCTACCTTGAACATAGCTCCGCCCCTGGTACATAGCCACCACACACAAAAAAAAAAAAAAAACCCTAAGTATATCTTTACGCAACTGCATGCAAGTAGGCAGCTGATCCAAACTTCATCACGTTAAAGTTGGTGGCCGGCGGGCCTGGCCTCGGCGTGCGATCGAGCAACTTGATGAATGATGATCGCAGCCGCAGGATTCCGGATTCCGGATTCCGATTGATTATATTCTCATACAACTCGATCGGAGGAAACTTCCTTCAGCTGAACCATACCAACTAGGGAATCTAAGAGACGGAAAACCCACTAAAACAAGTCTTCATAGAGGTGTTGCCAAGTAATAAATCAGAGTTCTAAGCGTTGTTTCGTGGTTTGATACAATTTTTAACAATTATTTTTATGATTTAACATGCGATACAACTTGACTCATGATGAAATGGTGGGATTTCGGCTTTATTACATACTCGTTTGCTTGTTGGATTTGAAAATGAGGGTTTTGAGTTTTCAAAATCTTTGGATTTATGATGGATTTGTTGTATTATGGATTTGGAAGAGTACATTGTTTGCGTAGTTTATTTTTGTCATAGATTCATGATGGATTTGTTCACATTTTGCCTTCCATTATCAAATCCCAAATAAAATGTGGGATTTGCAAATCCGTGGGGTCCACGGATTTGGATCTAATATGAGTCCAAATCCGTGGACCCCACGGATTTGTGTCCCTTAGCAAACAATGAATTTGTGCCAATTCCATTTTGCTTGAGATTTGATTTGATGAGTACCCAAATCCCACAAGCAAACGATACCTATATATATTTCGACCGCACCGAATGCCTGCAGCAAAGCTTCAGGGAATTGGGATCGATGGGCCATCTCTTTCAAGTGTGGGCTTGTAGCACTAGCCCAAGGTAAAATATAAATGGGCTCATTCACTACATGACGCTCTAGCCCACAGACCGCTTATTCGAGCAGAACTTGGAACTTCAAATTGAGAGCCCTCCAATGATTATCTTCACCAGCCTTCACTTCTGCTACTCGCTCTTTGTACCAGAATGGCTTTTCCAGCTTCCTTCTCCCACTCCGCTTCTCTGCAACTCTCCGCTTCCTTCCATGGCGAACGAACAACTTCCACTTTACTTCCCTCATCTACATCATCGAACTCATGTCCGTTCGTGGGTTCCCAGCTTGCCTTCTCCGCATCTCTGCGCGGTAAAAACCTTCTAACTGTTGGTTGCCGAATTCTTGCTTTTGCTTGGAGGCGTAATCCCCACTGAAACTTTCTCCAATTTCAATTTTCAGGTAGCAAAACGATGTCTCCGTCCAGGCTCGTGGTTTACTCGAGAAGGCTGTCCGGTTTAGAAGAAGCAATGAAAATGCGAAGGTATTTGTTTCACTCTCAATAATTCCAATGCTAGGGCAGGTCTTTATGGTTGTTTGCCTGATTACGTTACCCCAAATTCTGTAATTTGCAGGGAGAGGGAGCAAAGAGAAAGAAGTAATACTAAGTTTACGAGGCCGCTTCCTTTGAGGCGTGGGAGGGTTTCTCCTCGGCTACCGGTGCCTGATGATATACCTAAACCTCCGTATGTGAGCACCAAAGAATTGCCAGAGCTTGCTAGTGAGCATCAGTTTCATGACGCTGAAGGCATTGAGAAAATGAGGGCTGCTTGTGAGCTTGCTGCTCGGGTGCTCCAATCTGCTGGCGAATTGGTCAAGGTAAGTTCTTGCTGGCTGTTTATGGTTTTATCAGCCTGTAGTATCTTTAGACTTCGGTGGAGATTATGAAGTTACTAGTTAGTGATGTATTATGGTGATCCATTGATTGGCCTGGATAACTTCTGTTTTCAGTTAACTGTCCGTTTCGGGTTACCCACTATTTAGACCTGGGATCAATGGTTCATAGTCCCAGTATCCAAAAACCTAGCTCTCATGACTTTAGGATACAGAATCTATACAAAAATGAGAAAGGCCAAAGGGAATACTGACAGGGTTTAAACTTAGAAGGGGTTCTTTCCACGTTCTCCACTCTTCCCCAGCGTCTTCTCCTCCGCTCTGCATTCACCTTTTTGTCACTTCCTGGTCACAATCTTCATTTATTGTCAAGTTATGCATATAATACATTTTGATCGAGATGTTGCCACATTCCATGTAGCCATCAATCACTACAAATGAAATTGACAAAGCTGTGCACCAAATGATCATTGATGCTGGTGCATACCCTTCACCTCTTGGTTATGGAGGATTCCCAAAGAGTGTGTGTACATCGGTCAATGAGTGCATGTGTCATGGAATACCTGATTCTCGTCAACTGCAGGTAAGATTTACTATGTCTTGATCGGCATGCACATAAATTTTCTGCGCCTGTGTCACTTATTAGAATAATTAATTTTCTTGCAGGACGGAGACATAATAAACATTGATGTCACGGTCTACTTGAATGTACGTTTCTGGTTGCTCTTCTACCAACATTTTGACTATTTATTTACATGACCAATGATTTCACTACCTGAAGCCATTGAACTTCATAAATCTGATCTTATTTTCATAGTCAAGTTCACACAAGTAGCTGAAACCATACTTCAATTCTGTATCGAAGAGATATGTAAACTTTAGACCAGAGAAATGTGTGCACTTGGTAAAGAATTGCAGTTCAGCTCATGTCCTTTATTTTTTTATCATCCGATTCCTTTCCCCCCCCCCCCCCACCCCCCCCCCCCCCCCCCCCCCCCCCCCCCCCCCCCCCCCCCCCCCCCCCCCCCCCCCCCCCCCCCCCCCCCCCCCCCCCCCCCCCCCCCCCCCCCCCCCCCCCCCCCCCCCCCCCCCCCCCCCCCCCCCCCCCCCCCCCCCCCCCCCCCCCCCCCCCCCCCCCCCCCCCCCCCCCCCCCCCCCCCCCCCCCCCCTCCTCTCCCTGTTCCTTCATTTTGCTTTCTTGAAAATTATTTGTTGGAGAGCCGAGTTCAAACATGTATATTTTCCTGGTTTGAAAGACGCTACTCTATCATCACTGCAGGGTTACCACGGTGATACATCGAAAACATTTCTGTGTGGAAATGTTAATGATATTCTGAAACGGCTGGTGAAGGTAACATTTCGGAGCAGCTGCTACAAAGTTCATTGACATCAAAATGAAGAGATTTTATATTCATCTAAGAGTACCATTGTGAATTATCATATGTGTCTCAACACTGTTTGGGAGATGTTCCAATTTTCATCAGCCTTATATCACTTCTACCTTTCCATGCTTCTCTTATGATCTCTATTGTCAACCTGTTACTAGGTGACTGAAGAATGCATGGAAAAAGGAATAGCAGTTTGCAAAGATGGTGCCAGTTTTAAGAAAATTGGCAAGAGAATTAGGTACTCCGTGACTTTGCTTTGTGATTGGTTTCCTTTTGGTCCTTACTTTAGGTGAGAAGTAGAGCTATCACAGTTTTTTAAGTGGTGTGATCCAGTGGGATGACAAGTAGTTTCGTCATAGTCACTCTATGAGAGCTTGTAAAGTATCATATATAATCAGACTGAGATGATAATTCTGTTGAAAGGCACTGGTTGATCACATTAGTTCAAGTAGTAGCTGTCAAAACCCATTCTTAACTGTTACTCTTCTTGGAGTGAGTAATTTCATTCGAAGGAAATTTTGGTGTTTCTTTACTCATATCTGCTAATAAGTAATAATGGTTTTTTGCTTTCAATGCTGTCAGTGAGCATGCCGAGAAATATGGCTTTGATGTGGTGGAGCGTTTTGTTGGGCACGGTGTAGGAAAGGTGTTCCACTCTGAACCAGTAATATTGCATCACCGTAAGCAACTCGATCTAAAGTCTGTCATCTATTTTTAGGACATTACTCGCTGCTGAATTTAGCTTCAGGAATTGGGTCCAATATAGATGGCCCTGAACCTTCAGGAAGTCAGTAACTGCACCTTGAATAAATAGTTTCAAGAAACAAGTCTTTTTTTCATTTTATTTCTCTCTATCCTTCTTGTTAGGATCTCCATTTCTCTTTTTTCCATTCTAATTCTTCTCCCCGCTGAGAAGTTGTGATAGAAAGCTTTATCAGTCTTGTCCTACATAAGGTGGATCTCAAGTTTTGTTGTTTGTGCAACACTGCGTGTCATATAGTTAACTAATTCTCAGCAATTTAATTTGATGCCACAGGCAATGACAAGGGTGGAACCATGGTTGAAGGCCAAACATTTACCATCGGTTAGTACATCAGATGTATTAAGTATTAACAGAACAGTGAATAAATTGACCTGCCATTCTGGAAATGTTAGTTTGTTGTTGATTGTGTGGTTTGCTAATGTTGCTGCAGAGCCTATTTTCACCATAGGAAGCACAGATTGTATAACATGGCCAGACAATTGGACGACATTGACAGCTGACGGAGGGCCAGCTGCACAGTTTGAGCACACCATTTTGATCACTCGAACCGGTGCTGAAATCTTGACAAAATGTTGAAGAGGATTCTTCGACTGATGCTGTCCAGGAATGGAGAAACACACAATCATACTTGGGAGCAAGCAAAAAACAGAATGCAGTTCAAGATTGAAAGGCATTGTTATGTTTGGTCCATCAAATTGCATTCTACGAATTGCTGAAAGGCCCCCCAGTAAGATGCTTGTCACGGGGAGTCTTCAAGTAGAAAAGGTGTACATGAAAGTGTAATTACTAGGCAGGTACTCTTCGAAATGAAGGGTGAGGTCATGTGTAAAAAGGTCACAAGAATGAAGAATCGAAGTGAAGATTATGGCAAGTTAGTGGTTCTATATTTGTCATGTCATTTTGATCACAATGTGGTTTGTTTGTGAATTGGTATTTTATCCACAAACAGTCACTCTGGATAGGTCAATTATCTTGGTGGTCTCTAACACACTACTGAAGTTTGAAGTCTTTCCATTTCCCTACGGTTTCTACTTGAAGTTTGAAATGCACATCAACATGTCAGTTCATCTAAAATGATGAATTTTAGTTTTGTGTTCTGATTCGATTCTAATAGCCATCTTTTTAAGAACGGAAAGTTTGAGAGGTGATCTGGGTAGTAAGGTATATGATTAACATAGTGTATTCCTGGATTCGATTCTAATAAGTAATAACTATCATTTCAAGAATTTTTTTTTTTGGTAATCATCAAACAAAATAATTGTATACGTGATTGTGATCCGTTCTAATAAATTTATTCGACATCCATAAAATTGGATTCAATTCCTACAATCTACTATTATGGCAAACTAGATATCGATCAAGTTTACATTTCCAAATGACATGCATGACGCACATTGAAATTTATGAGTTTGTCAAACATTCACGAATTATGCGGGTTAGACATTAGATGTACGCATTGTAACAAACAACACCATAGCCTCTGCTGGCTGCTGCTGCTGTGGAGTTCATAACTTCCCATGAGATTGTGTAAACATCAATCTCACAAATAACCGGGCTGCTCCTTGCTCAAGTTTAATGACACAGTTGGGATAATTACGGAAGCTTCCTTATAGAGCATGGAGTGAATCTCACACAACGGGAAAGTAGTGAAGGCAAGCACACAATATTGGCGCAAATAAGGAAAAAGCCAACAAGAAGTTACCCAATTTGAAGAACTCAAGATCGCACAAATAAGGAAATAGAATATTGGAGCTGCCAACTATTGCTAGAGATAGTATGTGTGTATATATATAAAGATAGCTCCAGGTAAGCAAATAAGACGACTTGTTCTGTGTATGCTCTGTTTCGGTCTGGGTTTTTTTTCAGGAGAAGGTAAAAGGGAGATTAAAGTGAAGTGAAGCACTGGAACGAGTTCTTTCGATCGAAAAAGACAGCCGGGTTTGACTTAATTCTTGCTTTAGTTTTTCTGGGTTTGTGCTGCTGTGTTCTTGTTCTGTTTTTTGGTCGTATGATATACAGAGTCCTTTTGATTGCGAATTGCAAAGGAGGGAAGGGAGTTTGTGGCTAAAATCAAAACTCAGCATCTTCAATTAAAGGCTGGGTCAGATAACCAAAAGTATTGAGTGGGTTAAGGTGCATTCACAAAAATTAGTGTACACTATACGGCATATACCATAATGCAAAAAGTTATCCTTAGATCATCGATTTATTAAGTACAAATTGATACTATTAATCGAATTTGATGACATAATGTAGAACGCAAATTGGAAGCCGCGGCCTAAATCATACATTATATGCCCTCAACCCTAAACCCCAATTCTCTAAAATCCAAGTTAATCTTTAACGATTATCTTGGTTAAAATTACTGTTCTAATGATTTGATTATTAATGATTGAGATGGTTTTTTTAATCAATTTAAAAGTACTATCATTAGTCGGGTGCATCACATGCATTAGACAACGTAAGTGCATCGGGAACAAAATCTTAAATTACATATATTGGTGAATGAATCGATACGATTTATGACGATACTATAATAGATTTACATGGTTTATTCTTTTAAACTCTATTATAGCTTGACCCGTTACTCTTGCGACATGAAAGTGGTTGCCAAAACCTTTTGGTGACCATTTTACTAGTTTTTCTAACCATTGAGATTGGTCGCAAAGTGGTATTTTTTTTTTTTTCGTTGAATCAAAGTGGTATTTTTCTTGTAGTGAATTAATCTTTGATATGATTTCTGAATACATGAGTTTTATGTTTCGTGAAGGGACCCACTTCAACCAATTTTCCGACTCAACCAAACCATTGCCTACTGGGATTCCCAACATGGCCAAGAAGTTCAGAAGTCTTGTAGTCTCCCGGCCAATTTCAGTTTCCATTGTTGTGGTACATTTCATAGTAAAACATCTCTAATTCTCTGTAAGCTTCCAATGAAGAGATCTCCCTAAACTAATTGATTGCCCTTTTCGTATATATTCAGGGGATTGGAGTACTGTTCATTCCAAGCTTAGCAATTGGGTATTGGTATCAGAAAACCAACCACGTAGAGTTTTTTTTTTGATAATGGTGATAAATGCATTAATAAAAAGAAAGAGAAAAGGTACAAGCTCAGAATGCAAGTAAGCGATTGAAAATCAGGAAATCAGAAGAAAGACCGAAAATAAACTGGGGCACAAGATGTGCAGCCCAAGCAGAGACAAAGGAAAACGAAAAAGAAAGGACAGAACGAGAATCTCAGGAACCGGACAGCCAGAGGAGGCAAACCACGGGGATAGCCAAAGAATGGAGACCACAGCAGAAGAAATCGGCACGGAGAAAAACCGGCTGCAGCCTGGAGAAGGTCAGATGCATCGAAGGTCATAGTCACTCTATGTTGATACTTTACAAGCTCTCATAGAGTGACTATGACGAAACTACTTGTCATCCCACTGGATCACACCACTTAAAAAACTGTGATAGCTCTACTTCTCACCTAAAGTAAGGACCAAAAGGAAACCAATCACAAAGCAAAGTCACGGAGTACCTAATTCTCTTGCCAATTTTCTTAAAACTGGCACCATCTTTGCAAACTGCTATTCCTTTTTCCATGCATTCTTCAGTCACCTAGTAACAGGTTGACAATAGAGATCATAAGAGAAGCATGGAAAGGTAGAAGTGATATAAGGCTGATGAAAATTGGAACATCTCCCAAACAGTGTTGAGACACATATGATAATTCACAATGGTACTCTTAGATGAATATAAAATCTCTTCATTTTGATGTCAATGAACTTTGTAGCAGCTGCTCCGAAATGTTACCTTCACCAGCCGTTTCAGAATATCATTAACATTTCCACACAGAAATGTTTTCGATGTATCACCGTGGTAACCCTGCAGTGATGATAGAGTAGCGTCTTTCAAACCAGGAAAATATACATGTTTGAACTCGGCTCTCCAACAAATAATTTTCAAGAAAGCAAAATGAAGGAACAGGGAGAGGAGGGGGGGGGGGGGGGGGGGGGGAAGGAATCGGATGATAAAAAAGAATAAAGGACATGAGCTGAACTGCAATTCTTTACCAAGATGCACACATTTCTCTGGTCTAAAGTTTACATATCTCTTCGATACAGAATTGAAGTATGGTTTCAGCTACTTGTGTGAACTTGACTATGAAAATAAGATCAGATTTATGAAGTTCAATGGCTTCAGGTAGTGAAATCATTGGTCATGTAAATAAATAGTCAAAATGTTGGTAGAAGAGCAACCAGAAACGTACATTCAAGTAGACCGTGACATCAATGTTTATTATGTCTCCGTCCTGCAAGAAAATTAATTATTCTAATAAGTGACACAGGCGCAGAAAATTTATGTGCATGCCGATCAAGACATAGTAAATCTTACCTGCAGTTGACGAGAATCAGGTATTCCATGACACATGCACTCATTGACCGATGTACACACACTCTTTGGGAATCCTCCATAACCAAGAGGTGAAGGGTATGCACCAGCATCAATGATCATTTGGTGCACAGCTTTGTCAATTTCATTTGTAGTGATTGATGGCTACATGGAATGTGGCAACATCTCGATCAAAATGTATTATATGCATAACTTGACAATAAATGAAGATTGTGACCAGGAAGTGACAAAAAGGTGAATGCAGAGCGGAGGAGAAGACGCTGGGGAAGAGTGGAGAACGTGGAAAGAACCCCTTCTAAGTTTAAACCCTGTCAGTATTCCCTTTGGCCTTTCTCATTTTTGTATAGATTCTGTATCCTAAAGTCATGAGAGCTAGGTTTTTGGATACTGGGACTATGAACCATTGATCCCAGGTCTAAATAGTGGGTAACCCGAAACGGACAGTTAACTGAAAACAGAAGTTATCCAGGCCAATCAATGGATCACCATAATACATCACTAACTAGTAACTTCATAATCTCCACCGAAGTCTAAAGATACTACAGGCTGATAAAACCATAAACAGCCAGCAAGAACTTACCTTGACCAATTCGCCAGCAGATTGGAGCACCCGAGCAGCAAGCTCACAAGCAGCCCTCATTTTCTCAATGCCTTCAGCGTCATGAAACTGATGCTCACTAGCAAGCTCTGGCAATTCTTTGGTGCTCACATACGGAGGTTTAGGTATATCATCAGGCACCGGTAGCCGAGGAGAAACCCTCCCACGCCTCAAAGGAAGCGGCCTCGTAAACTTAGTATTACTTCTTTCTCTTTGCTCCCTCTCCCTGCAAATTACAGAATTTGGGGTAACGTAATCAGGCAAACAACCATAAAGACCTGCCCTAGCATTGGAATTATTGAGAGTGAAACAAATACCTTCGCATTTTCATTGCTTCTTCTAAACCGGACAGCCTTCTCGAGTAAACCACGAGCCTGGACGGAGACATCGTTTTGCTACCTGAAAATTGAAATTGGAGAAAGTTTCAGTGGGGATTACGCCTCCAAGCAAAAGCAAGAATTCGGCAACCAACAGTTAGAAGGTTTTTACCGCGCAGAGATGCGGAGAAGGCAAGCTGGGAACCCACGAACGGACATGAGTTCGATGATGTAGATGAGGGAAGTAAAGTGGAAGTTGTTCGTTCGCCATGGAAGGAAGCGGAGAGTTGCAGAGAAGCGGAGTGGGAGAAGGAAGCTGGAAAAACCATTCTGGTACAAAGAGCGAGTAGCAGAAGTGAAGGCTGGTGAAGATAATCATTGGAGGGCTCTCAATTTGAAGTTCCAAGTTCTATTCGAATAAGCGGTCTGTGGGCTAGAGCGTCATGTAGTGGATGAGCCCATTTATATTTTACCTTGGGCTAGTGCTACAAGCCCACACTTGAAAGAGTTGGCCCATCGATCCCAATTCCCTGAAGCTTTGCTGCAGGGGTGGGCATTCGGTGCGGTCGAAATATATAAGCCGAAATCCCACCATTTCATCACGAGTCAAGTTGTATCACATGTTAAATCGTAAAAATAATTGTTAAAAATTGTATCAAACCACGAAACAACGCTTATCAAATTGAGAAAGAAAAAAAAAACACTTAAAAATTAACATAGGAGTAGATTATCACTGTGGTTCCGAATCACACATTTGTGCAACGCAAAATCTAAACGGTGAGAATTATCTATTCTCTTCAAGGAAGTGTTCGGATTAGAGTACGATCGAGTCCTACATGATTGATATGGAAAAAAATGTGATTGTATTTTGTAATATTATAGAGTCATGTTTTATACTATAAAAGACATTCTTTGTACACCTCTACGAAGACTTGTTTTAGTGGGTTTTCCGTCTCTTAGATTCCCTAGTTGGTATGGTTCAGCTGAAGGAAGTTTCCTCCGATCGAGTTGTATGAGAATATAATCAATCCCACCGGAATCCGGAATCCTGCGGCTACGATCATAATTCATCAAGTTGCTCGATCGCACGCCGAGGCCAGGCCCGCCGGCCACCAACTTTAACGTGATGAGTTTGGATCAGCTGCCTACTTGCATGCAGTTGCGTAAAGATATACATAGTTTTTGTGTGGTGGCTATGTACAACAGCAGTTTTATATATTATCCCTCGTCCCTCTGCAGCTTACCCGTCGGCTTTCTATTTCCCATACTTTAAAGCTGCATCAGCTACAATAAACATAATCATTTGAGATCATTCATAACCACATTTGATTTTAATAAGGTGTTCTTTTGCCCCCAAGTTGCATGCACATCAGTTTCATACAAAAATAGAGATATTCGATCAGTTGAATCCATTGAAAGGGCTGCATTCAATTAACTAATAGACCAGCAAACAACGGTCTTCAACATGAAGGTCCAAAAATATAAAAATAAAAACTGAAGCCACCATTAAAGAAAAGTTAACTAGTAAACAAAAGTAACCTACTGGAAGTGTGTCTCATTTGGTTTTTTTTTCAATGATTCTTATTTATTTTTGCATGGACTCCGATGTGTCACTGACAGTATTACAGGAGTATGAGACGCTTAGTGGACAGCGAGTTAATTTGACCAAGTTTGTGGTGTGCTTTAGCAACAATATTAGTGAGGCGAAGTGTGGCGCAATGGCAGAGAGGCTGGCTATGGGTGCGGTGGGGTTTACGATTAATATCTTGGGTTACCGTCGTTGGATTCGCAATCAAAATCGGCTACTTTCCGATATTTGGAGGAAATTTTACTTTGAAAGTTGCATAGATAGAAGCAAAGACACCTTCCTTGGGAGGCAAAAAACGACTCTACTTGGTTGCCTTTTCCTTGTTGATTCATGTTATGTCCTGCTTTCTTTTACCGGTGACACTGTCTTGGAAATTGGATAGTATATGACCAAATTTTGACGGGGTGTGCGGGAGGATGGACATGGTGGTTGGTGGCTCTCTCGGAACTCGTTTTGTCGGAGTAAGCAAGATGGTGGTCTTGGATTTTAAAATATCGAACAGTTTAATCAAACTATGTTAACGAAAATTGGTTAGTGAATTCTAAATAATCTGGATACTTGTTGGTTCAAATATATAAGGGGGGATATTTTTGTGAATGGTTTGTTCCTGATTGCGCGATCGGGCTCACGACCATCATGGGGATGGCAGCGCATCCTTCATGCAACAGAGGTTTAATTCAAGAAGGGTTGAGATGATAGGTTGGATATGGGGAGGTGATTGATATGCTCAAGGATGATTGGATGCCCCAACAACACCCAACCATATGACAGTCTTTAACACGACACTTGTTTAGGGAATTGTGAACGCGTGTCTTCATTGATTGATCATAAGATTGGCTCCTCGTGTCAAGTGTGGTTGTCATCTTGCTTTTTTGAGAGCGTTGTGAAGGTGGTTTCGGCCATTGTCCCGTTATCATACCATGTGGTGGAGAATAGGAGAGTGTGGCATGAGATCTGAAGCTGCGAGATGGTTGTGGTTGAGCCATTTTGGAGGCAGAAGCATAGCTTAGGGATGCCTTCCCGGGTCGTAATGTGTGAGAGTTTGATTTCGTAATTGGCTCATGTCAATTATGTAAACTGGTATCTTTATTATGTTGGTATTACAATAAGCGTAAGACACAAAAAAAAACCTATTGACTCACGATAGATAAAAAAAAATGATGATCATTACATGGTCTAGTAAGAAAATCCTAAACTCGAAAGGCATCATCAATAACCCACTATACAAAACCTCAAAGGGTTAGCTGGGTGAGGAAGATCAAAGAGAGGAGCGGCATCAGCACCAAGCTAGTTTCTTTCATTGGCTAGACAATTCGACATCGAGTACATGTACCTGCCATGTCATCGCCCAATACACATCGAGCTAATTGGATGATGAAATCAATTGGAGGGAAAATGAAGAAGGGGAGAGGGACATGAAGGATGGTAGATGAATTGGGAAGCATAAATAAAATCTAGGTCGAAACGTTGCGATAAAGGAGTCGAAGCAATAAGGAGGAAAGACAACGGGTTGGCTCGGGGTTGAGTGAGAGGATATTATTAGAAAGGAAAAAAATTGAGGTATTTACCTGAGGTTTAGGGACTTTTTTTTTCCCCAAGGCAAGCCCAAAGGGCATGGGACAAAGACTCGACACGATTACAAGACCGACTGAACTCAACGCGATAGTCTATAAGCAACCAGACTATCGATGAAAGAGCCTGATAAAGCCACTACATGGGCAGCTCTGAAGAAGCTCCGAGGAGCAAAGACACGACACTGACGAGAAAAAAACAAAAACAAATATCCAACATCTCCAAGATAGTCCCGTCAGCGAGTGTAGTTTCCTCCAACAGAATATGCAGAATGACCAACATCGGGTTGCCACAAAAAGCCACGACAAAGAAACCAAAATTGTATTAGATATCTACGACAAAGCTTGCTTAAATACTCTAAATTTTCTGTAAAAGCGAATAAAATCGTACTATCACCTGATAGATCGATGAAATTTATTTCAGTTACATAAATTCCTTTCATACCATATGAGCACCTGCAAAATGAAAAAAAAAAACACGACTATGGTGCTAAAAATATCTATCCTAAAAATTAAAAACATGCAGTATAATCTGCACTCTCGAATATACATCGCCAATGGTGTGATACAACACTCAACGTAAATCAAGACAACAATTAAGGAGATTATAAAATAGCTTTTGAAAAACCATTTAAATAAGTGAAAGCAGTTTAAATTCAATAATTACCTTGATCTCCAAAATCAGGGAAGATAAAAGCAATTTTATACGAACTCAATGATGTCAATAAAATTGGGGAAGAAATTAACTAAATAATAGACCCGCAGTCCGCACGATGAATGAGATACAGGAAACAAAAAAGGAGTCAATTAAGAATAAAGTAATTACAAATAATTAGCAATGAAGTTAAAAAAATTTAAACTTACCCATAAGTGATATACCCGGGTGAGATCCTGTGCTTAAGCCTAGAAACTTAAGCATATGCTTAAGTCAATTCTATTGGCGGGAAGCAGTTCAGTTTATTTTCAACAGGTAATTAGTTATATAATTATTAAGGGTAATCTCGGTATAGGAAGAAAATCAATAGCTAATAAAAACAAAAAAAAACTAGGGAAAGAAACCCTAATCTTTTTCTTCCTCCCGTCCGCCAAAGAACTGCCTCCGCGATATATTAACGGACGCATCCGATTGTAGTCGGCGATCCCATCTACCATCCCGCCGCAGCCCGTCGCCCTGGTTTCTGTCACGTCCTGGAGAAGAAGAGGTCTTGGCAATGGAGGATTGAGAGAGAAGGAGAGAAGAATCAGAGACGAGAAGAGAAGAGTGAGAAAGGAAGAAAGAGTAAAGTTGTTATTTCAGCCAAAAAGTAGTTACAACGTCTCTCCCGGGTTCCTTTTATACAAAATGGCAAATATCCAAAATGATCCCTAATCTTCTGTTCCTAACCCATTTCCCCCGTTGGTTACAACTCCCCATCCCTTCAGCAAAAGCTTGTCCTCAAGCTTGAAACTCAGGGAAACGCCGCTGGAAATCCGCCAGGAACTCCCAAGTTGCATCTTCCTCGCCTTGGTGTGACCATTGCACTAAGACCTGAGTAACTGCCCTGTTATCCTGAGCTACCATCTTCCTGGCCAGAATGGCAACAGGAAAAAGCTTGAGTGCCCCTTGATCATCCACTGCAGGCAGAGAAGGTTGGACCTGAACTCGAGAGCCAACTCTAGCTTTTTTGAGCAATGAGACATGGAATACTGGATGAATAACAGAGTCATCTGGTAGCTTCAATCTGTATGCAACAGCTCCAATTTTCTTAATAATGGGAAAGGGGCCAAAGAATCTTGGAGCAAGCTTCTGATTCGCTCTACTGGCCACTGAGGTTTGTCGATAAGGACGGAGTTTTAAGTAAACCAAGTCCCCTTCGTGCAAGACTCTCTCAGTCCGGTGAGCATCAGCCATCTGCTTTTGCTTGTTCTGGGCCTTAGCCAAGTTGCTGCGAAGAATGTCAATAAGCCTGTGCTGCTGCAGCAATCTCTCTGACACTGCTGCTACTGACGTGGACAGAGGGTTCTGTATGGCAAACTGAGATGGAGAGTAGCCATAAAGAGCCTCGAATGGGGAGACCTGCAGACTGCTGTGGAAATTGGTGTTGTACCACCACTCTGCCAGGGTTAACCAGGAAGCCCACTGATGAGGACACAAATGCACCATTCCCCTGAGATATTCTTCCAAGCATCTATTAAGCCTCTCGGTTTGTCCATCAGTTTGTGGATGATAAGCAGTTGA